AAAAGGCAATACAGAAGTTTTTGGAGCCCTGATCTCTCACAGCCGGCTGGGGGCAGGGAGGTGAGACGGCGTTTCTGACTCCTGCCTGTGCCTGCTTTCCAGCAGGGGTTGGGGCAGGGAGGGATTAAAAAAAACAAACCATCAAAGGTAGGTTCAGTCCTACCAAATGTATGGTGCTGCTCTGGGGAACCTTCTCACTGTTTGCCTGGCAGGGGGAAGCTCTGGAGCAGAGGATGCGACGGCAGCTAACGCGGCACAGAGCCTGTCTGCACGTGGCTGGAATGTGGAAAACACCAAAGGTAACTCGTCCAATCACTAAAATAACCCAAAGCTCAGCTACTGACTGTGCCACGTAACACTGGTCCCATGGGGCCCAGAGCATCAGGGCTGCTTGGAGCTCTTGGCCAGAAGAGCTCCTTCCTCTTCCTCCTCCCCCCAGCATCAGAGCAGGGTGCACAAGGCCCATAAAAATCCCCTTTTTCTTACAATTTGCTGCTTTATGCACCCTGAAAAGAGCAGAAATGCCATGTAGCAAGGGCAGAAATACCTCCCTTCTCCAGGTATTACCCTTGGGGGTTGCAATGCAACCGTTTCCAGGGGCGCTCAGGGCTCTCCGTGGATTTTTGGGGAGGCTGCTCTGCCTCAGGCATCCCTTACCAGCAAAGCCAGGTGTTCGTGAAAGAAGGAAAAGATAGTCCTGAGAACACAGCCCTTCCCCTCAGTGCACTCCTTCACCCTGTCGCTTCTGCAGACTACAACATGCATGGACACCTACAGCGAGACCCAAAAAAACCCCCCACGCCTGTTTGCAAAATCTAAGCTAAGAGCAGTTGGGTCACCTAAAAAAAATCCTTACGGCGTGCCAAGGATCGGGAGTGATTCATGCTGAGGGATGGTTCCGAGGTTTGTTTGGGTTTTTTTGGCTTTTTTATTTGCAGGACATCTGAGTAATTTCCCACTGGTGGGAGCTGATGGCTTGTTCACGCTCGTGTGAGTTCACCAGCCAGGGGCTGGGTTGGCACCAGTGTCTCCGTGCATTTCCCACAACCAAGCTTTCAGTTTCCAAAAGAGTTTTTTTTGTTTTATACGCTCCCTCTGCTGGCTGTAGTGCAAAGTATTATATTCTAATTAAACGCCTCGACCTAAAATTCAATTGCAATGAAATCACCAGGTTAAGAGCAAAAAATCCCCTGTCTTTATTCCTCCTCCGTACTCTGACCCACACGTCTCGATGGCACTCAGGGTCCTGCTGCTGGCACAGGGTTTGGGGGAGGAGTAGTTTTCTATAGCACCAATGATTATTGCTGTTTTAATTATCTTAATATAAAATACATTCTCTCCTTTAACAAGCCCTGCCTCTGCTATACCCCTAGACCGTTTTACAATTGGAAGCGCTGTGCTTTGTAGAAATCCCACTTCAGAAAAGAACCAATGGTGGTGATGGAAATATTTAGTGTTTTCTCTTGTTTACATACAGCCAGAAAGAGTTATTTAAAATAATACAGTTTCTGTAAAAACCAAGCCATTGCAGGGTTTCTTACTCTGTTTTCTTTTGCCTGTGGAACAGCTGAGAAACACTTTAAAATGCTGTAGAAACTAATTGTGAAAAATCATTAGAGGGTAAAACTTAGTCTTGTATGTAGCAACGCTGCGCTGCCAACTCTTTAAACAACACTTATAATGGAAATAAATTGGATTAGTGCCAGAAAAAAAAAAAAATGGAATTATGAGCAAGGAGAAAACGTGTGCCCCACGTGGATGGCTGGTACCCCAGCAGAGACGTGCTGTGTCTAAGGCAGATTAATGCTTGAATTCCGAGCATTAATGCTTGAAAAAAAAGTTCTGCAGGGCCCAGACTGTTTTTAATGCTTTCAGTTTAATGCAAGCGGGAGGATGACACCTGCTGACTTAAAAAACAGGCTTGTAAGTCCTTGGAAGCTTTTTTCCCCAGCGCTTTTTTTCAGTAGGGGGAAAGGTTTACATTCTGTGAAAGCCACAGGACCCTGCTGGACAAACCAGCAACCCCCCACACCAGGGTATTTCCGAAGTAATACTGCTGTGACCATTAATAAATGAGGGAGCAGGGGATGAAAATGGGTAACGGTTCAGAAAAAGAGAGGCAGGCAAATAGGAATGAAAGCAGAACTAGGACTTGCACTGGCTAAAACAGATTTCAAACATCTAAATGATCCATAAACATATAAAAAGCTGTTTATAGATCAGAATGGTGAACACGAGCTGCACTGTCTTGAAAGACAGAGGAACAGCAGGAGAGCAGGCATTGTCCACTCTTCAACGTCAGCAAACGTGGTCACCATTAATTATTTGACTGAAAAGAAATGAGAGGAGGTGACCCCCGCAGCCCAGGGACACACAGACGAGGTTTCCTGCCTCAAAAGTAGCTTTGGTTCAGTATTTCTTCAGGACATCTGAGCTCTCCTGTTTTGTTCCGCTGACCTCTGCTAAGTCAGAACTCAAACTGGAAGAGTTGTACATCAGAAAATAAAACCAGTGGTCCCAGGGGAAAAAAAAAAAGAAATCACAGATATATTTCACTTTATTTATTTGTTCTTCATTTTGATAGCACATCTCAATCACACTTGCTAATTAGATCTTACAAGGTCTTTCCCCTGCACTGGGAGAAATGCAAAAAACCATCATGCATAAGATATTGAATGCACTCACATCCAGGATGTTCTACTTGGGGGGGTTTGAACATCATAAATAAGAGAACAGTAAACCACCTGGTTTGGGATTTTTTTTACACAGCATGGTTGTTACAGAACATAGCAGCTTAAAAGGTTCAACACAGGTTAACCTACTTGCAATATTTTTATTTGAAAAAGTTTCTAATAAAATTCCATAAAAGAAAAAAAAATACAGAGGCCCAAACATCACAAGAGAATGTTTTAAATATAAACCATTTCTTTTTAATTTGTTTGCAGGGCATAAACCCCACAATGACCCCTCTGCTTTGGCTAGGGATGCAATTTTGGAGTTACTTAGATGAAGGTTAGGAAATTCAACTTATTTGTGAATTTTATGCACCATGAAACATCTTTAAATGGGGGTGTTTTTTCAGAAATGCTGAACACCAGCCTCTAAGAGGTCCTAAGCTGGGGAAACAAAACCTCCATTTATTCCTCTGAATATTGGCCAAAATACTGGGGATCTGCTAATATAGTTCCTAGAGCTGTGAAAGGAAGTTGACTATAGGTTCTGTTATGTGAGTTTTATTTATATATTTTTTAAAGCTTACATTTGAATGCTTTGATGGCCATCAGGAACAAGAAATTCTTTCAATGAACAAATAAAGTCAAATCATAGGAGCCTGGGGAAGAGTTAGCCATACTTGTTGATTTAATGAAAAGACAAGCAGACAAATTTATTGTCTTGTTACTACTCACAGGTGAAATACTGTTACAAATACTCGACCTGACCCTGCAACATGCAAAGTGCCCTACACGGCTTTGTGAAATACCCAAGGGATGAAGGTGCTGGCTTCGCCCGAGGAAACACTTCAGGAGACGTGGGACCAACCCCAGGAACAGATCGAGGTGTTGTAACAGGTATTAATTTTAATCCCTTGCTATCAGGCAGCAGCTCTCTCTATCCGTGCCTGCTGGCCCTGGCTGAGTTACTGCTTAAACTTCCAACTCTGGGCAGGGGAACTGCAAAATAGAAGAAAAGCTGAGTTTGGACTAAGACTTCAAGGTTTACACTGAATTTTAATCAAGTGTCTTCTGCAGCTGTATACCACAAGGTCTTTTTTATAGCTGGAACTCAGACCTCTTTTTATATATTATAGGATCCATCACCTCTCTTTGCAGCTATCACGTACTTGAACCATAAAGCTGCATGATAAAAGTGGTCAGGATCTTTTGACAGAAGAAGTCAATACTGTCCCATCTCACCCAAGTTGTGCTGCAATCTGGGCCGTCGCCTCACGCTGGGGAGGACTTAGTAAACACATTCAGTCCAGTTACATCCCTACTACCAGTTCTTGTGCCAAGACTTTAATGTGCTTCAGTGCATGAAGGAAATTTACAACCAACTCTCTGAATATTTATACATATAAATTTTTTTTTCCTGCTCTCCATTTCATTTCAGTTTATATATTTTTTTCCTGCTCTCCATTTCATTTCAGTTAAAAAAAAAAAAACAGCAGCAATTATATTATAGCTTCATAGCAGATATTTATAACTTAGCTATAAACAAATGCTGATCTAAAGCATTGCAGACAGCTGTCAGGAAAACTTAATTATTATAGAATTTATAGGAATATTAACCACTTTTTTTTTCCAGTACTACAGTTACTACTATCTTTTAATGACGGTGGGTGGATATAAATTAGATCTTTTCAGACATGGGTTTGCTCTTTAAATGAAAAAGCCAGGAAGAAGCCTGTTGTTACAACTCAGTGTAACATTAAATTATTATTTTAAGAGCAAAAAAACCCATAGGTAAATGGAGCTGTCTCCATAGATGGGAAAGGACTGTGGAGCAGATTAGTAAGATTAGTAATTTGTCTTTTGAATAGAAATACCTTTGGTTGCTGGCTGTTTCAAGTGTAAATTATATCTACTGAAGTTGTGTTGATGGGGGAAAGAGGGTTTAAATCCAGAAAAAAAGAGTTTGAATTCTTCTGCAGTGTTAATTGGATACATTGACCAAATTTATCCTGATTCAGATTGTCACTCAGCCGCTCTAATTCCACCCAGTCTTTGTAACGATGTAAATGGAAGAAGAATCTGGGCCACTGTTGAAAAAGTTTTGCCTTGTGCCCTCCGTGTGAACCTACGCCCAGAAATAACTGAGCTGACATGGAGGCCTTGTTCATTAATAGCTTTTCTTAATACGTGCAACCTTATTAACAACATGATGTGTCTAGGAAGCAACAATTCAGCAAAGCCATTCTCTTATTTGATTTCAATACCAGTGGAAGTGGACTGGTCCGTGTATATTTGAAATGACAGAAGGCAGTTTGATCTACCAGTGCCTTTTTTTTTTTTTTTTTAATTAAAAAAGAACTTTTCAGAGTCCTGCCATAAGAAAAGCTCTAATGAAATGGCCTTTGTCGTGACCTCCTACCAACCACCCAGCATCACCTTGTGGTACTTTGAGAGGAGCCAGGATGGTGATGAACTGCCTGCCCAAGAGGACCAGCAGCCTCACAGCACCACCCATGGTGGGGCAGGATGCTCAGAGACAGCTACGAGGGAAGGATGGACAGCCAGAAGCTATGGGAGCTGGTTCAGTGCCCGCTGGTGACCATCACATCCAGTGACACCTGTGGGTTCACCTTCCCAGCTCCCTTGTGAGGTAGGAAATTCCTGCTCCCTCTCTCTTGAAGAAGAAAGTGAGGCATAAGGAGATTAAGTTGTTCTCCTGGGGTCCCACAGGAAGCCTGTGGTAAAGCTGAGGGTGAATTTAATCCACTTGTTTAATCACAGGGCAGCCATTCTCTCCCCTTTGCCTAGAAAACCCAGGGGTTTTGACACAACTTTCATTTCTGCAAGCAGTAACTGTTGTAAGCAGTTTCACTTCCCTGTCCTGCTTGTATGGAATTTACAGACTGGCTCAAACCGTAGAGATTTGTTGCACAAGAGCAAGACCATCTCACCTAGCATTTTGGGGCAGTCCACAAGCCAAAGTTCAGCTGCAGAGCTCAGACTGAGATCTTCCATACGGATTAGAGCTCACCTCTATCTGCTTGCTTCCCTCCTTCCAGGAAGCATGAAATAAAATAAACACCACAAGCACAAAAGCAAAGTAAATGAACAAAAACTACTATTAATTACAAACATTAGTGCAAACCACACAGTAGATTTTTTTTTTTTAGTATGCTCAGTATTTCCTGTAAAAAGGTCATGAAGCTGAGGCTTTAAACACAGACGAAGTCACATTCTTTAGCCAAATAAGTAGTCAGCTCTGATGCTCACTCACATAAAAAAATGTGGATTTGTATGTATGCTGTAATACTTTTTATTGAAAATATATTTAGTCCTGTGCTTTTATAAAATATAAATAACTAAAAGGCAATGAAGACCAAATTCCAAAGCTAAATTACTAGTTGAAATGTTTGGCTAGGAGACTTGTCTAGCATCATCTTAACTGCCTAGAGGATCTTCTTTTTTTTTTTTTTTTTAAATTTAAGTAAGCCTTTTGTTCATGGGCCTAAAAGCCAACACCTAAATCCATGCTTGACATTCAAATGCATGGCTCTGCTGTCAAAGGTGAGAGTGCTCACACTTGCTTTTGACACCAAGTGCTCACCACTGTTGAAAAGCAGCTCCCTTTTTTACAAATTCAGATGTACCTGTAGGTGTTAGGCTTTATCTCACCTCGTTTGAAAACTGGGGCCTTTGTGCCTAATTAAGAGTCAAAGCTTGAGAAGTTCCAGCCAGTTAAGAATGCTCCAGGAATGCTGATCTCCCTGCTCCACATTTATTTATGTTTGGCAATTGTCAACTGAAAAAAAAGGTGGGGAAAAGAATAAAATACCTAAGTTTGAAAAAGTATTTCTCAAAAACCTTTGCTGGGCAAGGCCAATGGAGCCCATGAACGCTGTAGTTATTGGTCTGTAACCCCCAGCAGCTGCAGCTGAACAGACGAAGTCTGACTTAGGAAAAAAGTGCACTTTTTTTTTGTTGTTTGCTCTTTCTCAAGAGCGGACACCGGAGCCGCACACCCCGTTGCCTTCCAGAGAGACCCCCCCACCTTCAGAGGTTTTCATCCAACCACTTTATATAGCTGTTCCTGGTCTGGATGCCCGCCGAGAAATCCGTTGGCCAAATGGTGAATATCATGCAGCCATGAAAGCAGTCCTGGAAGTGGTCGAGTGTGACCTCCACGCCGGCGTTCTCCAGGCGCTTGGCGTACATCACCCCGTCGTCGCGCAGGACGTCGTTCTCACAGGTGAGGACGTAGGTCTTTGGCTGCAGCCTCAGGATTTCATTTTCCGCCAGAAGCGGGACAGCCCGCACGTCCAGCAACGCTGGAATCTGCTGGATGATCTCAGCCTCCCCCGTGGTTTGTACCACAGGCTTGTAGTTCTTCTTGAAGGACGAAGGCAGGAGGGACGTCCAGTTGAGACGTCCTCTGAAAGAGTGGGCTTGGCCAACGTCAAGAGCGGTGTGGTTGTTAATCAGCAGGGAGTGAGCCAAGTCATAATTAGCATTGAAATAGTCTATCCAGTAGCTGATCATGACGTAACGTGGAAGAACGGGCATGTTCATGTTCTGCTGGTAAGAAGGTGTATTGAAGTCAAATGCCTGAAGGACTGGATAAATTAAGGCCTGCAGTTTGGGTCTGATGGTCAGATGTTCATCTTGGCTAAGCTGTGAGGAAAAAATACAGGATAGAATTGGGATTACAAAGAAAATAAACGTAACAATATCAACGTAGAACTTCATACAAGCAACCATTCATTTGACAATTTTTAGGCTGAACTCTGCTCTTATGCAGATAATGTTGCTATTTTCTCTGAAACATTAGCAGCCTGCTCTTTTTCTTCTCCAGTAAGGATGGCCATTCAGGCAGACCCAGTGTGCTGTCTCCCACAGAAATCAGTGGCAGAAGTTTATTGATGGGTGTAAGAAGAAAAAAAATAAGTGTAAAGTGGCATTTCACTAGTGCACTTCCCAGTTTAACAACTTGAACTGAAGAACTTCCTGAAGCAAAGGAGCTATTCTTGCTTTTAACAGTTTTTCATGGATTTTTCTTCCATGAATTTATCTAATTGGGGTGTTTTTGAGCATATGCAATCTGTTGGCATCCACAGTTTACTCTAGCTTACCAGAGAGGAGTTTACCAGAGCTTACTAGAAGGACCTCTGTGTTTGACTCGCACCTGATGTCTGCATTTGATTTGAGCCTATCAATTATAAAGATCAGGGGGCACCAAGTTTTTCTGGAAGAATCAGCAAACACTTGTTTTGCATCATCTTATACACAAGAAACACAGTTCTCTATGGTATCTCATCTTCTCTGTCTCTTTTTCAGGCTGAAAAACCTTTGTGTGTTCAACGTCTCCCTGAAACAGTCCCTACATCACCAATTTTAAAAGGCATTACGCATGAGGGAAACGAATTAGGAATGCTGCTTCCAAAACACGGTACTATCATGTTTATCAGACCTCAATATTGAAACTTTTAGTGTAATTGTCCCCTATTAATTTTTTCACCCTAATTCAATATTGCAAGGTTGTCATGATAATTAGTTGCCTGGACATGTTATCCGCTTTCTTATCACCAATGGTTATGACAATACGAGAAAGCTAATAATAATATTTCACTCAACCATGAGAAATATTATTACATGCCTCAGGCTGCCTTTAAAATCTTTACTAGATTAAATTCAGATTACTTTTAAACTGCAGATATACAAAAGAAATTTCCTTAAAATTGCGAAATGCTACAGGAGGACAATTTGACAGAAGAATTAAGCTTCATTTATTGTATTTTTTTCTCCTTCATTTGTATTTGAAAGAAATAAAAACCTATTTTCAGAGACAAGCAACTAAAAATAGGAAGCTAAATTGATGTTATGCATGTACCCAGCTACCTACTTAGAAAAATAAAGAATTCATGAGCAAAAGGGGTAAAAAAAGTTGTTTAGCTCTTTGCTCTTAAAATCTGGCCCATAACAACTCATAACTAGTAAGTCATTGCAAGCTTTGCGATTCATATTGTGACTGACTCATTTTTTTTCTGTGAAGTGACTAGATGCTGGCTGTCTACCATTCTGTCCTTAGGGCTGGCAGATCACCTCGTGATGACACAGCACAAGGAATCTGTCAGCCTCTACGCATCGCTGGATTAGGGACTGTTGTGTGTGACACTATTGCAGCTCTGGGATGTTACCTGCTGACACACAGCAGCTGCCAAATTTCCTCCTGCGCTGTCGCCAGAAATTGCGATCCGATTTGGGTCAACTGAGTACTCAGCCAAGACATCAGGCTGCAAAAAATGCTTAGTAGCACGAAGAGCGTCATGGAACTGCTCGGGGAAGCACACCTCTGGTACCAGCCTGTATCTACGAAAGGAAAAGAGAGGAGAGACCATTATTACCATCAACGTACCTCTCTTTCAGGATTAATAGCTGATATCAGGTATTCCTAAATGGCAAATAACTATTTCGTTAGGATAAATATTACGGGAAAAACATGAGGTGCCTGATACTTATGTAAGACTTAATCTTATAATTAATGCTCTAATTCTGAAAGATTAATATGAACCTACTAGATATGAATAATAGCAAGACTGTATAAAATTGTGCAGCACTTCCCTAGGATTTCCCAACAGAGGATTTCATCATACATTATAAAAAGGAATAAATATTTAAAACATCCTTAGCAAGGGAGTCATTACAGTCAGGCTGTGCTCGATCCAAACCCCCACCTTAACTAGTATGAGGCAGAAAGGGAGAATGTGTCATACACAGAATGACAGAATCACATGGGGTTGGAAGGGACCTCTGGAGATCATCTAGTCCAACCCCCTGCCAGAGCAGGTCCACCCAAAGCGGGTGGCACAAGAACATGTCCAGGCAGGTTTTTGAATGTCTCCAGAGAAGGAGACTCCACCACCTCCCTGGGCAGCCTCTTCCAGGGCTCTGCCACCCTCAAAGTGAAGAAGTTGCTCCTCATGTTTAGGTGGAACTTCTTATGTTCAAGTTTGTGCCCATTTCCTCTTGTCCTGTCCCTGGGCACCACTGAAAAAAGACTGGACCCATCCTCTTGACACCCACCTTTAAGTATTTATAAGCATTGATCAGATCCCCCCTCAGCCTTCTCTTCTCCAGACTAAAACGACCCAACTCCCTCAGCCTTTCCTCATCAGAGAGATGCTCCAGGACCCTAATCACCTTTGTAGCCCTCTGTTGTACCCTCTCCAGCAGTTCCCTGTCCTTCTGGAACTGGGGAGCCCAGAACTGGACCCAGTGCTCCAGCTGGGGCCTCCCCAGGGCAGAGCAGAGGGGCAGGATGACCTCCTTCAACCTGCTGGTCACACTCTTCCTGATGCCCCCCAGGATGCCCTTGGCCTTCTTGGCCACAAGGGCACATTGCTGGCTCATGGGCATCCTGTTGTCCACCAGATTCAATAATTGCTCTCCATTATTGAGGAGAGGAGATGGAATATACCCATTGCACAGATGGAGAGACTGAGGCACAGAGAGAGAAAACAGTCTGCCCAGGACGAGCCAGCAGCTAAGTCACATTCATGAGATTTTCTCAGTTTCTAAATAAGAATGCAGGAGAAGTCTGTTCATATTTGCTGAATAATATGCAATATAAGAGTTGTTACGAGGCCTTATGGTACAAAGTATGTCTTCTGTTTGTAGCTTTGCAAACAACAGATTTTACATGTTCTCAGCAGAGCTGAGCAAAACAAGCAAAGCAAAATCCAGTTTTCTGATTCAAAACATTTTCTTTAGAATCTAAACTATCAAGTTTCATACACTGCATAGGTTTTAAACTTAGGTTACACAAAAAGTGTTTCAAACTCCAAATCTGACCTGCTTTCAGGAAGCAATCTATATATTGCATCAGCTACAAAGGAATATGAGAGAGTCCTTTGGGAACTTCTTGCAAAACTGGAAAACAGACTACGCATATATCATGAAAGTGAGACATGCAATTAAACCAATGAGAAATCTAATTAGACTTCACTAATTTAGTACAAAAGCCCTGACTGAAATATGTAATGGCTAAGGAGAAGAGGTAAACAGTAACTCATAGAAACAGGCAGAATTATACCACCATAAATCAGAAAAGGGAACTTTTCAATTCTGTGATTGCTGGAATAATCAAAGCTGCTTTTTTTACTTTTCATTGTTTCTACTAATAAACAACACAGAAGTAAAAAAAAGCGATCCTTTAAAGTACGCTATAAGCATTGAATGAGTAACATCAACTCCATATAATTAAGTTGCAATTAGATCACAGGGCTCGGTACGTAATCAACTGCATGTGGGAAACTTGAGTAGTTACATGAAGTGATTGGGTTTGCAACAGAAAATATTGAAGTTGACAATAAGGACGGGAGAAGTACCAATCAAGCTGGAGTCATCTAGGTAATGTCGTTAGCTAGTTGAGAGCTTTGATTACCTTGGAATTGTTCAGCGAGTTAGAAAAAGCAGCCCTGCTTCTCTGTTGTCTGGCACCCGGGCAGCCCTCTGCTCTTAAGTGAGCTGTCTGGGACAGTGGGAGCTGGAGAGAGCAGCAGGAAACTGACAGAGTCCAGAGCAGAGGCTGCTTAAGGAGCAGGGGTGGAATGGTTTGATAGTTATTCTGTCCCAGACCCTTGCTCAATATGACTTAGAAACTGTGATTTATGGACAGACTCCGGGGGGATTCATATATATATTAATATATATATTTTAAATATTTTATATACATACAGTATTTTATATCCATATAAACTTTATTTATATGTATATAAATAAAAATATACCTTGCAGCAGTGGGAGTGGCCACTGAGGATGGGAAAAGTCCCTTTTGCTACAAGTACTCTCTTGACTGTGAGGGTGGTGAGACCTTGGCCCAGGTTGCCCAGAGAAGCTGTGGCTGCCCCATCCCTGGAGGGGTTCAAGGCCAGGTTGGATGGGGCTTGGAGCAACCTGGTCTGGTGGGAAGTGTCCCTGCCCAGGGCAGGGGGGTGGAAACTCAATCGTCTTTAAGATCACTTCCAACGTAACCATTCTATGATTCTATGAGGAGGCAGAAATGTGTGGTTGAGCCTTCCTTCAGGTATGTATCATGTCCAAATATGTTTGGGTTCTGTTGTTTGATTGTTTTTAAAGTTCACAAGTATTTACAGAATTTTAACTTGGCACTTGAGTGATCTCAGGTTTTAGCTGCACTCCTTACATGTGGATACAACTGCAAGATGCACTAAAATTTGCATTTTAGTATCTGTCCAGCTGAATCAACTGCTACGTTTC